AAGAAGGCTTTGCCAGGGGCTGGGCCATGGCACAGAGTCCAGGCCCATGCTGGAACTGTGGGTGCTCATCACAGTGCAGTGATTTGGGGCAGCCAACAGGTGTAAAGGCTTCACAGGGAGGGCAGGGTATTGCCAGGATCTTGGTTAATTGTTCTTACTCAGGGTAATGTTCTAACATGAAGGAAGGGCACTGCAATGGTTGTCTCTAATGTGCCTCATTATATCAAGCAGATGAATGTTGGATGGATCACTCGCTGATGTTAGGCCTTTAGGTGTTCTTGCTATGGAAAACAGCCAAAATGTGTTAGTCAGTTTGTGTAACAGAATGCCCACAATGATTCTGTAATTCAAAATGGTTTCTAAAGAGAGACACAAAGATGTACCAAGTCACTACACCCCCAAATCTCATTTGAAATCAATGGAGTAGATCTGCTTAAATGCATTTGAGGATGTGGTGGTATTCCTGTTCTTGACTGGTTCTCAAATCTCAAGCTGCAAACCCACATCCAAAGATCCCTGGCTAGCTCTGAGGAATGCCTATGTTGGTCTGGCTGGTAAGCTCCTAATGTCTCCTTCTCCCTTAAGAAAAATGAAGTAGGTTGACTTGGGGCAATTAGATAGCAATCTAACTCTATTATCTGTCTGGGAGGTGACCAAGTATTTCTGCAGTAGGGCAGGAAGAAAATAATCTACTGATCAAGAAGTTACAAAGACTGTAGAGTTAATCTTCTCACGGAACATGCCTATTACACTTTGATGTTATGCCTTCTTCCATGATATGGCTCAGCTTAAGTGAATGAACAACCCAGTGCAGGAGCTTTAAGCTCACCCTGCAGCAAGAAAAGTGGAACCAAGAGCCAAAGTCCAGCATTTGTCAGGCATTGAGATAAAGCCCGTTCTTTTCTAAATCCGGATTTGAGATGACGCAAGGGTCCTCGTGCAGGTGGTGATTGCTGCTTAATATGCAGTGCAGCAGCTGTGCAGCGCTGTTCAGCACATTTCAGAGCACTGCTCCATTAAAAGACTGACGGACCTCTTTGCAGGCTCCTCTTGATATGAAATTACATACATGCCTTCTGCCCATCTTTGTTGCCTCAAATGTTAAAAGTCCCTACATTTCTAACACGTTTATGAACCAAACTTTGCAGCCTTGTGCTTTGAAGAGAACCTCTGCTTCCCGCTACCTGATGTTAAGAGGTATCAGACCCAACACCAAGCGGTTTGCTAGAAATATTCTTATTTGAACTCTTGCCCATCAGTAAAATAAAACAAATCCCATCTTAAAGATAAGAGCTTATTCACCTGGGAGGAAGAAAAAAATGCTTGTGCTTTAGTTTCAGACAAAAGACCACTTTGAATTTCTCTTGGCTTTAGGAAAGCGCTTTGCGCAAGCAGAGTGCTATGGGGCAGTTTCACAGGCGATGTGTCATTTTTGGCCACTCTCACTCGTGTGCTCTCTCTCTGTAAACTCTGTGTCTTTTTCCCTTCTGCCACCTTACATATTATTATTTTCTGCTAATTTACCCCCATTGATTCCTCTCTGTTTCCACCTACAGAAGGCTGGTTTCTGTACATTATTGCCTTTTTCATTCCTATTGAGTTCCTCTGCCCTACTAAAAGTTCTTCACTGGATGCTTTTAGCAAGAGGGCAAATAAGCAGTTTCAAGTATTTAATGAACTTTTTACAATTTATGTCCTATAGAAACTGACAATAAGCAGAAATAAACTTCAAAATTCTTCATTTGTGCTAGCTGTATATGAAAACTATATGCAATCCATGTACACATCATTACTTACCCCAATATTAGCTATGCTTTTATGCATGAAATGCAATATTTGTTCTACTCCAAATTTGCTTCTTGTCTTTTATCTGCTTTTACATATTTTTGGGCTTAACTGTCCATTGATTCCACCTAAACAAGTTCCTTTATGCACAGAAATAAATCTAGTGAAATGAATCTTGTGATTGTGCACATAAACCAAAAAAGCTTTTGGTAGTTTTGTAAAGTTTAAAAAGGGAGACGTCAAGTTTCACATTCTTGTGACTAGTCTTACTGAAACAGAAATGTTTGCATGAAAAATGAGAACTAACAATGAGAAAAACTAAAAACTGAAAAAAAAAAGGTCTCAGTCTGAGGTTTCTAGTATGACTCTTTGGTAGATTTTATTCCACTAAAAGAGGAAATATGTTCTGATTACTGTACGGAAACTGCCCTGTCAGCAAGACGGGGTGTTTCACCAAACTGGACACCAACCCCAAGAATTATTTATAATGCTAACCCTGCAAAGCCCAACTCAGCTGACCAACAGAGCTAAGTGCAGTTGCAGCCTTCCCTAACCAGACTTACAGATAGGGTGCTATCAGCTATCATCGCCTCTGTGGACAGTCAGTGCATCTCAGGTTTTAATCTTACGTTGTTAACAATGGAGTGTTAATAGTGTAATACTAACAAGATAGTGACCATTTCCAGGACAGTTTACATACGTGCACTGAAGTATTTTGGCCCCAAAGTGTAGTCAGTAGCATTTTCTGAATGTAAGTACACAGAACTCTGCTAAGGAAATAAAGTATATTTATAGTGCTGTAGGTTCTTGCAAGGCTGAAAATTCTGATGTTGCTTCAGCAAGTGTTTCGACCAAAGCTATTTAAACCATTTGAAAGCAGTGCTGAAACCATAGAATCATAGAATCACCAAGGTTGGAAAAGACCTAAAAGATCACCCAGTCCAACCGTTCACCTATTCCCAATAGCTCCCACTAAACCATGTCCCTCAACACAACATCCAGCCTTTCCTTGAACACCCCCAGGCTCGGTGGCTCCACCACCTCCCCGGAACCATCCTTGTCCTTGTTTCCTCCCTCTTCCTCCCCCTCTCTGCTTCACTTTCATAGAATCAGAATTACAAAGGTTGGAAATGACCTCTATGATCACTAGTCCAACTGCCAACCCATCCCAACCATGCCCACTATCCACGGCCCTCAGTGCCACATCCACATGTCTCTTGAACAGCTGGTGAAACGGTGACTGCACCACCTCCCTGTGCAGCCTGTTCCAGTCCTTAACACTTTGTCAGAGAAGTTTTTCCAAATATTAAACCTGAACCTTCCCTGGCACATCTTGAGACCTTACCTCTCGTCCTATCATTAGTTAGGCAGAAGCAGACGACCCCCAGAGGGAGTTGTGGAGTGTGATAAGGTCTCCTCTGAACCTCCTCCAGACTGAACAAACCCAGTACCCTCAGCATCTCCTCATCAGACTTGGGCTCCAGACCCCTCACAACTTTGTTGTCCTACTTTGGATATGGTTTAAAGGCGTTCAGATGAAAACAACACTAATGTCATCTATCTGAACGACAGATATTTTTCTGAACTAAACATTTGTGGGGGACTGTGGGCAAGCGGAAAAGAAGACGCTAAAAATCATGCAAAGCAAAGAGGAGAGAAGCAGAGCTACGCAGGTGGAAGGAAAGCTGGGAAATCCCAATGACTGTATCTCGTACCGAATCCAAGCGCCTGCTTTTTTTTCCTCCTACGAAGAACCTCAGAGCCGGTACGAGGCGGCTGGGCGGAGCTCCGGGATGGCCGGCGAGGAGCGCGGCCGTGGGGCGTGCAGCTGACCCCCCCTCCTGGGCAGCCCGCACGCTGCACCGAAACGCGCCGGCTGTTCCATCGGCCTCTGGTGAAGCCCCATTCTCTAACCCCTAACCTGACGCTCCCCTGGCATAACCTTGAAAATGAAACACTTGTAGAGCTCAGGAAAATTATCATAGAAGGAAATTCACATGCAGTTAATGGAGGAGGATTTTTTTGGCTCAAAGCTGGCACTTGCTGCTGTACAAAAGCATTTACAGCACGAGCCTTTTCCACAATAGGCACTGACTGCCAAAACCAAGATCTCTGCAAACCTGTGAGGTAGTGGGACTCTGCTTCACCAGATCCTGTGGGCACGCTGCCAGGGAAGGGGTGCAGAGAGTCATTCATCTTGTGCATTTTACACTGAAGGGCAGAACAGTGAGTGAGGCATCAGATGAAGGGCTGTGTAGCTGAATTCATCTTGCACCAGGAGAAATACTTAACTGGAATGTTAGGTAAAACCTGCATAGATAATAGACCATGCTTTACCAAGTTCCTTGGCAGACAGAAGCAGGGTCAGAAGAGGAGATCAAGGACACTACTGCAAAGTGGGGCTAAACAAATTAATGATCAGCTGGTCCATATAGAAATAGTAAGGAAAATAAAGAAGGATGTACCCCTTAACTCCCTCAACCTCCTAATGGCAAATGCTGGAGAAATAAGGGAGAGAATTGACGTTAGGCATTGCTCTTCCTGCCAAGTATCTAATATCATTGCTATTGGAGACCACCATAGACTGCATGAGCCATGGCCCTGTCATTTATATTCTTACTGTCTTATATTCTTAACAGCTGAGTGTGTGCAGAGAACTCAGGCACTAATGTCCTTCAAGTTAATGATAAAGTGCAAATCCTGATTGGCTGTTTATCTGCTCTCTCCAGAGTTTAAGACTTGTTGCCTTTCCCCACTTTTTGTTCAGCTCTTGTGAACCTCCTATCTTCTCAGTCTCTTGGATGCAGGGTAAAAGGAAGCCATAATGTAGTATGACTGTTTCTAAGGCTGTTGTGGTAGTAGTTATCAGCACTATGCAGTTCTTCTGGTTGAACTACCAGTATTCTATCCTAAGTTTTAAGCTGCAATGCATAAAACATTATGCAGTATGCATCTACTTCAATAGAAATTAAAGCAAAGGGGAGGCCTAGAATCAGATTTTGCATATGGCTTCTAACCTGGGGTATTTTCAGAGCTACAGGAGCAAGGTAAGCATCTGTTTATGCCAGTGACATTTAAGATACTTTCTCAGAAAGATGTACTTAAAGGTACATTTTACTCAAATCAGGTAGCCTCCAAAGGTGGTCTTAACTAATTTGCAGCCTGCTTACTACTTCTAATCTTTATGCTTCCATTATATTATGCAGTGGTTCTCATTTCCTGACCTCCCTCCACCCATCTTCAAACCTCTGGGTTATTGAGCAAGAGGAGTTCTGTTCTCCAGACACAGCACAGGAAGAGCTTTTGGAAATTACCCAGCTTGTTGGGCTGGTGTTCCTGGGTGGCGGAGTCAGAAGCAAGTTAAGGAAGAAGAAGACTTCGCAGAGATGTGGCTCAGTAACACCTGAGGTGACTAATTTCAGCACAAGTCAAGCTCCATACCATCGTGATGAGGAAAGTGGTGGTGCAACAACGGAGCTTATCTATGACCAGAGAGGTGCAGAAACATAGGTATACCTCTGTCTGTAAATGCTCTCATAAACATCTGTATGCACGTGGTCCCATTCAGAAGGCAGTAAAGTGCTCCCCTGCTTGCAGTCAGAAGCATGAGTCTGTGTCCCAGGCACCAGATTACAGCCGTCAAAGGGAAGATCTTGCTGTCCAAGGCCAAACGTCTTTATCAGATAGATGTTTGTTCTGAAAGAGCATCTGTGAAGAAGGACAGTAGTTGGTTTGCTTGTTTTCTTCCCAGACTTTGGGATCCTAGCCTGGATTTTTTTTTTTTTTTTTAATTATTATTTTAATGTGTTGTACAAGTAATGGGAGTTCTGCTCTGGTTAAAGCCAGCGTTTGCCTTTAGAAAGAGATCTGAAATGAGGCACATAGCAACAAACACTAAAACAGAGGTATGTATCAGGGCCAAAGTGAGCTTACTTAATGTCCTTGTGACCTAAGCCATAAGTCTAACCAGAACTTTTTCCTTCCAGTTCTTGAAGACAGAAGTTATAATATATCTAGGGCTAATTGGAGGATTATTTTAACTTCTTGAACCTGTGCTGAAGAGTGAACTCTTCCCCTTGCCTTTCAAGTTATGTGAGAATTATGTGAAAGTTGACAAGTACAGCTCACTGAGTGTGACCACAGCAATGCTGCTGCTTTTTGAAGGAGCATCAGACTCTATCAGGGGTTAAGACAACTCACTTGGAAGAGAATAGTAACTATGAAAGTGCAGGTAAGGTACAAAGTACAGAAAACGGGATGAGACTCCAAGGACTGCTACTACTGCAAAAGCAAAGTTCTGAAACAACACCTCGAGATCAGTTAGCTGATGAATACTTCACTGCCTTTTGACCTGTGTGTAGATTTCCCAGAGATTATTGTTGGGATCACTTTGATATGAAAAATGAAATCCTTACAGCATCGTGGCAACATTTATTATCTGTGCCTACTATCACCAGATTAACAGATGCATCTGGGTGACTGCTTAAGGATGATGAGATGCCAGAGCACTGAGAGTATAGAAGAAAATCAGTGGAGAATAAATGGTGATAAGAATAAATAGAATTCTTCAAGAAAAATTTCTATGTATAGATATCTTAACAAAGAGAAATTAATCTTAGCATGTTTTATCAGACAGGTGCCATACAAAATGACAATCCTTTAAAGGAGACGGCCAAGTTGGAGAAGTGTCTTCTATTAAAGTATGAGTGATAACCACTATGAAAGCAGACTAAGCTAAGCCAGCCATCTGTTGATATGACAGTGTTTTTATAGGCTGTTCTGCTTACAACCTTAAAAAAAAAAAAAAAGAAAAAAAAGGCATTAAGGACTTGAAAATATTTGTTTTTACTGAACGAAATCCTGTGTACTGGGCAGCAGCATGGAGTTACGGTAAGCCTGAACTTTTCACATCTCATTCACGAGTGGTGGGATGGGATAGAAAGCTGATGTTTCAATTGTGGCTTGGTTCTACTCTATTGTATTTTTATTGTAATTATGCTGGTTTGAGAGTGAAATTACTGATGAAGTGGTGCATGATTCCCATGTCAACATAAAACCTCTACAAACAGAGATTTGGTCTCTAAAATACACACATCACAACATTGTATCCTATCATTTACATCAGACAAGACATATCCAGTGTTTTGGTTGGCCATCAGCTAGAAGGAAAAGCCAAGTTTCCAATAGCTTCACTTTCCAAACACTAAATGAGACTTCAAAAGCTGTAGAAATGCAGTACAAGACTATGCAGTCCTATACATAAAGTATCAAATCTTTCTAGAAGTAACAACTGTGGGTGCAATTATTGTTATACAAACTTCGACATAGTTTCTGGAAATTACTTGGAATTTCTTACCAAGACTTGAAAAATCTTTTCCATCTGTTCTTTCTCTTGCTTTTTCCAGGGTGTGTTTATAGATATAAATCCACAATATATTGTGGCCACTATATATAGAAATAACATTTGAAATATACATCCCCCTATTAAGCTATGTTTAAAGTAGTCGGAACATTGATTCACCTAAAGAGGCATCCAAAGTAATATAGGATTGAGCGTGAAGACTGATAATCTTGGCTAAGTAACAGTCTGAGGGAAGGAAAATCCACTTGGTCGTTAACCTTAAAATAGTGAACACTGTCTTCCTATTCAGTGCAGATCTCAAGCCTGGGAAAGAGCTGAGATTTTTTTTCACACGGACATGCTTCAGCAAAACAGAATCCAATCCACAGAAATACCCTTCCTCAGAGAACTGATCATCTATCTCGCAAAAATTAGGAGGCTGCACATCCTGTGGGAAGAACAGGATAGTTATTACAGGTTAGTTAATCTCTAGCGAACGTGCTGACACTACGTAAAACACTCCTGCTGCAGCAAGTTTTCAGCTGTGGACCAGTTAAGGACATGTTTCCTCATGCTGACGTGGTTATCTGAGAGATTAGAGACATCAGATCATTCCTTCAGCTGCTTTTCTGGAAAGAAGTGCTTATAATACTAATATGTAAGTGAAACAGTCATGTAAATGCCTGTATATTTAGGCCAAAGACTGAGGACACCTTTCCAAGGCAAAGGAAGAATTTACCACATTGCTTTTTAAGTTACAGCTTCTCAAAATATGTGTTGATCCCCAGTGTTCAGCAAAGCCTAGCTTCTTTGAGATTTGGCAAAGCTTTTGTCTACAGTTAAATAAGACTATAGTTTTCTTCAGAGTTGCTATAGTTATGAGCCATCCCTAGTCCAGGGAGCCTTGGGAATAATTTATAGTATACGAATGACAAGCAGAATAAGTATCATTAGAAAGGCATGAGAAAGCATCAATAAAATGTTTTCAGTAAAGTGGGCTATTTGGTGATAAGATTAATAAAGATAAGGTGTGTGTCTGTCAAAAGTCCACACTGTCAAATGAAAATGTTTCAGCCAGAGGCACAACCTGGTGGGCATCAGAGATGATACAGAACCCCCAGATCGATTAAAACAACGTGGAGAGTGATGTGGAAAAAGAAGTGAACAAGCCAAATGTGCCACCTTGATGGGGGCTAATAAACTAAAGCGCTTGTGCTTTCAGAAGAGCTTTCCATGGGTGCCCACAAAAAAGGTCTAAACAAGAGGATGCCCCTCACATGGGCCTGTGAGAGGACAGCCTATTGAGCTTAAGATATATACTAAAGAACATCAAAACATTTCGTTCAGGAGAATGTAATGCACAAATATATGTAAGCATGTGATAAGGTCAGTGACTATAAACATGGGAAATGTTACAGTGACAGCAGGGTTTTTCCTTTAGGTTTCTAAATAAGGGGTTTAGAGTTCTGTATGTGGACTATATGCCTGCTACTTTCATGAAGTCTAATTAACCAGCCACTTGTAAGCTTTAACCCTTTCTACGTGAGCTATGCTTCAGCCCATCATTTGCTGTGGGAGAAACCAAAACATCACAGTGTGGGCAAAAGATCTTGTTACAATGATTATACATAAAATAAATGTATTTGTCTTCCAGTGGTCAAAGTGGAGCTTGAAACTTGATACTGCTTGTGGTTGAAAAATATTACTGAGAGGAAGTTTAGTCACAAAGGAAGGCTATGTGTTCACTGGGTTGGTACAAAGTGTATATACAAGGGAGTGTCCATTATAACCCATCCCTTAGCATGTTAAAAGTACTGAAGCATTAAATGCATTTATATTTCTTAGCTTCATAAAATGTAAAACATTTAGATGCTACTAGGAATTACTTAGCCATTTTCCTGAGCGATTTTTCCTAATGATTTTTTTTCTCTACAAAAAATACGTTCCATTACTGAAATACTATAAGGGTTTCATAAAAAAGGGTTATTAAGCATTACATAGTTGTGCTACAAGTTCTGCTCTGGATGTAATGCCTCCTATTTTATGATATTGGCCCATGACATTAGAGGTAGATTTTGGTAGTATGGCAGTATAAGTTGAACCTTCCTCCAATATTGCATTCTGTTGCTGTGTGACAGCAGCAGAGGGGCAGCTGGACAAAACTGTGCCTGATATGGAAGTGAGTGTGGAATGAAGACATGTTATTAAATTCCTCCATGTGGAAATAATTACACCCATTGACATTCATCAATACTAGTTGTACTTTTATGGAGACCAGACAGTGGATGTGAGCACAGTGAGGTGGGAAGTAGAACGTTTCAGTGGTGGTGACAGTGACATGAAAGGCAAGCCACATTCTGGACAGCCATGCACGACCCTCACATCACAAAATGAAGAGCATCTTGATCAGCTCATCTGTGTGACTCCATGGATTATGACCAGGGAATTGCATACAGAGCTGCATATTGGCTTCAATGCACTGGAAATGATGGTGGCAATGCAGGAATACCACAGAATTTGCATTGGGTGGCTCCCATGAATGCTCATACAAGAGCAGAAAGAACACTGTATACATGTTTGTCAGAACATGTTAAATCAGTAGGAGGCTGAAGGTAAGAGTTTTCTTGATTGCATCATTACTGGTGAAGAAACATGGTGTCACCACAATGAGCTGTGATTCGTGGAGGGGCAACGTGTGAATTCCCCATAGTAGAAGTTGTTCAAGATGCAGCCCTCAGTGGGTAAAGTGATGCACGCTGCCTTTTGGGACAAGGAAGGGATGATTCCTCTGGATATCCTGGAACTCAGACAAACTATCAGCTCTGACTGCTAGATCATGATGCTGACTCTGCTGAAGGCTTCCAGAGTCAGGACAGAGGAGAAGAGAGACAGCCTTTCTCTTGCAATGTGATAACACCAGGCCCCATGACAATTTGAAGATTGTAGAGCACATCCCCAGTCTTAGCTGCACTGTCCCACCATACCAAGTGAATAATCCAGATATGGGGCCTTTTGACTTCCCTCTGTTCAACCCAATGAAAGACAGACTGCATGGGCAGCATTTTCCTAGCCGTGGTACTGTCAGAGCAGCTGTGAAATAGTGTGTCACCTCTGCTGATGCAGCTTTTACTAGTATGACATGCAGGCTCTTGTTCATCTCTGGCAAAAGCACATAGCTAATAGTGGTGAGCATGTTGAAAAATAGCTTTTTGTAACAGAGAGTTTGCTCTATCTATCAAACAGTGTTATTTTGCTCTTTGTATCCATTGTAGTTTCCATGGAAATAAATAGGAGGCATTACCTTCAGAGCAACCTACGTAGAATCATTCTGATATCGCGGGAAACCTTGTACAAAAGAGTATTTCTATATAATGAAATGCAGAAATAATAATGGTCTTCAGTGGGTTTATAGACATAAAGTTGTATAACTGACTGCTAAAATATCTGCTAAGTTTGTTTGACAGATAGCAGCAGCCCAGGGAGCTGCTCCCTCATGTAGACATAAATCAGTTCAGTAGACACCTGCAGGGGGCTTTTCTGAAATAACTCAGTGGGGAGAGGAGCATGCTGAAGGATGGGGTGGGAAGACAGGCAGCAGCAGAATCATCACTAAATTTTAATCAGGTGGTGGGTAAAAGCTGTAGAATTGCTGATCTTTGGAGATAATTTCTAACCCAGTCCATGCAATAATTTGTTCTAATTAACATAGACAGCTTCACTTCCCTTGGAGTCAGCAATATGAATACTAAAGCCAGAATATTGTACTGGATTTTAGCATAAATTGAAAGGCAATTTACTTCACTGAAGTAAAATTTTGTAGAAAAGCACAGCTAAAATGTAAATCCCCAAAAAATAAAGACATTGAATAATTGATTATTGTTAACTTCAAAAATCTATATTATGTATCTTCACATTGTGTGCTCAGGAGACTGGCAACTGAGCTTTTTGCTTTTTAACTATCGTTTGCTAAGGGAGCTATTTGCTCAGATTCCATGAAATTAAGTTTCAAAGCCAACAGCCTAACAAAAGAGGCTTGCTAAGAGGGAATTTAATAGTGAGTTCAAGAGCCCGCTTGAGCAGTCCTCTAATCAGTGGCATGATGTAGAGTGTTTGTCATGCAGTGAATTTGCCATCTTTTCTTTGCTGCCAGAAGGCACTTCCTTTATTCATCTTATAGCAGCTAAAACCCCATCATTTGGAAAAATAAGTACTGTCACTGCAAAGCACCATCAATGCCAATATTGAGATTTAGATTTGAGGCACACCACTTTGAACGGAATAGATAACCAAGGAGAAAGAACAGCAAAATTAGGTGGATTCATAGCCTCTAACCACCAGAAATGAAAAAACCAAACAGCACAATGCAGTGGATGGTGATGGACTTACTTGTGAACTTCAATTTGGGCTTCTTTCTGGTGATCATGGAACAGCCCACATCAAATTATGAGTGTAGAAATGGGAAAGAAAAAGCATTTCCCTTCTTGTCCAGGCACACTGTCTGAGCCTGTGAAGAGGGAGCCTGCACTGAGAGAGGTCACTGAAAATGATGGCTGCACCGTCGCTGCACCCCGTGAAGCCCCATTCTGGAGGAGACACAGCTGAAAAATGCTCTTTTTAATTCTACATAGATATTTCTTTAAAGAGGGTGCAGTGACAGGCAGGATCCACACAGAGTCCTTGCCACATAAAAAATGAAAGCTTTCTAAAAAGAGTCTTTCTTTTACTTTCTTATAAAGTCCTCCGGTAGCCTATGGTTGGGGTGGCCATTCCCTAGGCATGTCATGCTTAGTGGATTTGTTTATGGTTCTCCCTGCATGGTTATGTGTGTCCAAGCCTCCCCACCGTTCAGAACTCAGTGGTTTTATAACCTGAAATCTGGCAGCAAGGGACATGAATCAGATCTGCATTGTGCCAACCACGAGTCCCTTTGCATCAGATCTCTGAAGGCTTCTGCATAAGCCAGCAGGGGCTGAGATGGAGATGGCAGCAGGGCTGAGGGGATGCTTATGCCAGCGCTTCTGGAAATTATCTGTTGGTGCTCAATGAAAAAGGTTTGCAGGAAGCTTTGTAATCCTCTTCCAATACCTCAGAGCTAGTCTCCTGTTGTTACATTTTGGTCATGCTATCCACATGCAGGATCCCAAGATACAGATATACACATATTTATATGCGTTTGCACATCTATCTGCAGACACACATAGACACATGTGAACAAAACAAAGCATACTTGGGATATACTAAGTATTATCGTTCTGCATTCTTTTCTTGCACAATATTTCTAAATAGAAGTCTGAAGGAAAGCCCACTTTGTGATAAAAGCAGAGCAAAGGGGAAAGCAAGGCAAATCTTGAGCAGCTGTCTGGGCTAGAGGAATTATTCCCATGAAACCAAGAACTAGTTGAAAAGGCTGTAGAAGGCCCATTTTACTTTCCTTGGTGAAGACAGTGTAGAGAAAGGGAGATCAAAGGATCTATTACCTCACTCTGCTAAATATGTAGTCATAGAAAATGGCCACATAGATCACGTCATTGGGAACAAAGAGCAAAACATCTCCTTTTGCATAGCAGAATGAAAAGTAAAATTCCTAGCCTTTAATTTAAATCTTTGTTTTATGGGCTTTGGTCATAAACGCAGACACCCTAATGGTTACTATGATTCTCCTTTTGGGAGCAGGGGGAGCATGTATTTTGAGAATTTCAAGGCTAATCTTAGAAATGCTTCTTGTCTCATTGACCAGTGAGGCTGCCATTTAGTTGTGTTTGTTGTTTTCATAGAAGCTAAAAATAATTTAATTGCTTTGTGTTAGCAAGAAATGCTTGGTTTTTCTTCTGTGCTGCCATGTGGCATAGTCTGGGATGTGGGTTTTTAATAGCCCAAGTCGTTTGTGCTGTGTCCCCACAGTATCATCAGCACCACATGCTCCAGTGTGCCCTGATGTTTGTACAAGGAAATAAAACCTCCAGGCACTGCAGCCTTTCTTTTAATAACTCTTCCACCTGTTGGATCCAAGTCAAAGCTAGACTATGCAGGTTTCTAGTGCTACATAACGCACACTAAGCTTAAAAACAGCAGGGTTTGCTCATGGGTGCTTTTGATGCTTGCAGTATACTTTTGAGCTTTTATTTTTAATTCATATTTCAATACTCATCACGCTGAACCTCAGAAGTACCACCTTTAGCTATTTTTAAAAGAAAAAAGACACTTTGGTAGAGGAGAAGACTTTCATTGTCTGAATTTAAACAGGTTTATGGATAAAAGGAACTTTGTAACCCGGCCACTGAGTTGTTGCTCACTGAAAGTCACAAGAAAGAAATCAAATGAGTTGATGGCTCACACTGCCCTCTAAATTTTTTGTAGCTGAAATTGTATGTTTGATGGTGCAGGTCTCTGATCAGCAAAACTGAGAAAGAAAGGCAGGGATGTGAAGGAAAGAGAACTCGTCCTGCAGTCATATATTACCTGGCATTTTTATTCTAGTTAGTACGAATCATCATGTGACACTACGTCAAAGTTTGGAGATAAGGCAGTATGTAAGTAGTCTTACTTTTCAATCTCACTTTTCAGTTTGTACAATTCTGGCCTCCAATTTTTTTGAAGGGGCAGATTTCAGCCCAGGAAGGGAACAGGGCAAGGTGGCAAAGCCACTTGTGT